GCATATTAAATATCATTTTAAAATTAACAAAAAAACAATTTTTATGATGTAAAAAATAAATTAATAAAAAAAATAAAACTTATTTTATATTTTATATTTTATATTTTATATTATCATAACCACTAAACATAATTAATTAAATTTATAAAATGAAAGATAATGTGTATATATAATATCCCTGTTTTTTTGATCAAAAATTAATCTTGGATAAAAACTAAATATTTTAATTTCTTTTTAAAAATCATATAATTAATAATTTTTTAATAATTTTTTTTAGGTTTATACAAAAAAAACAAAAAACATATCTAAATAATGTATTTCAAGTAAAATCATTTTGGAAAATAATGCTAACGTTTTTTCCTGCATATATTTAAATATTACTTTAAAAAAAATAAATTTATTTGTTTTTTATTTTTTTATTTATTTTATTTTTTTTATATTTATATTTTGATTTATTTACACACACACATAACTATATTAAAATTAACATTTAACTATTTATATTATTAAATAAACAACCACAACAATAAAAAAACTATTTACTATTTTTATTTTATTTATTAAACTTTAATACTATTACTATTTTTAAAAAAATGATATCTGGTATATATCTTTTTTTTTTTTAAAATATATACACAATATTAATTATTTTTTTTTATATAGACTTAACTTTTAGACAATACAAATCAAATAAATATCAACTATCACCATCACCAGCACCACAAACACCAAGTGTAACCATAAACCCAGATAGTTACCAAAGAAAAAAAATTACAATTAGTACACTAAACTTTTCAAAACCAAGTGGGGGTTTGATTATTTAAATGAATATATAAATAAAAAAACAAATAAATTGTACAATATTTAAATCTTTGGGTTATTTTTAAAAAAAAAAAAAATTAATACTTTTTTTAATTTTACAGTTTATAGTTTTTAGAAATAAAAAAAAAAAAAAAAAATTTTTTTTTATTTATCTTTATTAATATCTTTTATTATAATTTAAAATGATTTTGAGATGTTTGCCTGTGGGGACTTCTTTTTCTTTCACGTCCCATATTGGAGGGTCTTTTGGTAAAAAGTCTAAAGATAGTTGGTGGCATAATATGTAAAGATCGATTGAATCAAGACTACTATTTTCAGAAGTTCATTACGCATACCGATAAGTCTATTAATTGAAGAAAAAACTGAATCTGGAATAGGCTCACTATTAATAAGATCTGGTTGAAGGCATACCAATATATGTGTGAGGTGGTACATTGACACTGAGGGGCAAACTTGATCCAAAACCTCTGTATCTGATAGGAGCTCTTTGTTCATAACTAAAAGATTTGCTGTTTCGATCATTTGTGATAAACCGTTTATTGATTCGTCGAGATGATTTACTGATGCCCAATCTTGAATTTTAGAGAGCTCAAGTTTCATTTGAAAACCATTAACAACTGAACATAAACCATCCAAACTATTTAAAGATTTGAGGAGTGATGAATTTATATAATAAAATAATTGACTATAAAATTGGATAATTAAACTTGGATGTACATAATTTTGTCTAAGTATTTCAAAAAACTCTTTAAGGACATCCAATGTTGTATTGCTTGTTAACTGACTGTTGAAACTAAGACCATTTCTAGAAGAGTAGGATGCTGATGATGTTGGTGTGCTGTTGGCAGAATTATTGGTAGCTGCGTCATAGGCCGGGATATCTGGTGTTGATTTTCTACGTGATACCTTTCCACTATTAAATGCTAAAATATCATGTTGTAAAATGCTTCCAACTAAACCTGGTGATAATTTTTGATATGCATTTTGAACTAATTTAGAATAAAATTTGAAGATAATAGTCTTTAAATTGTATTCAAAACTACTAATTGGTGATAATGTTGATTGACCACCAACATTATTTTCTGGTTGGGTAGATGGTTCCAAATCTGTTTTATTTTTAAGTTTTGCTAATAATAAACATGAGGTTGATAACCAGTAAGCTAAAAGTACACTATCGTTTTGACATTTTTTAAAGGTAGTTTCGAATGCTGCGTTTATACTTGAAAACACTCTTGTTCCAATTTTGAAATCCTTTAATACGCCCAATGATAAAAGGCCATCAAAGATATTGATGCCTGAAACTGGTAAATTTCCTTTGAATTGTGGCTCTGCTAAAAATATATTTCTTTCGATCATTGATTTTTCATCGAGCTCTTGTTTATATGCAGCAGATTGTTTTCTAAGCTCCTCAATCGAACCCGATGTATTATTTGATTTGGTAGTTACAACCTCTGGTGAGTCTGTACCTCTCTTTTTATTATTTAAACTTAATGATTGAATTGCAGCTGCAGATGATGTACCAAGTGATCCCGATTGAATTTTTTCTAATAATTCCTGTTTATCTTTTTCTAATTGAGCAATTACTCTCTCTTGAGCTTCATTCTCTTGCTGTAATGATTGGTATTTGACTCTTAAATCTGAACCAGAGATATTTGAAAACTCTGAATTGGATTGATTGATTTGTTTAATCTGCTTCTTTAACTTTGTAATTTCTTTTTCTAGACCTGTTATAATTGTTAACTTTTCCATTTTCTCCTGTCTTAATATCTCAACCTCTGAGGATGTATCACCACTGCTATACCTTGAAACATCATTTATCTGTTGATTAATTAAATTTTCCTTTTCAATTTGAAAATCATCAATTAAAACTTCGTTTGCCTTTATTTCATTTTGTAAATCTTTATTTATTTTTTTTAATGTTTCAATTTCGTTTTCTTTAGCTTTAATAATTGTTAATCTTTCATAACTTTCACTTTCAATTGCCTCAATTTCTTTGTACAGTTTATCAATTTCGTTTTTTAAATCTTTTTTACTTTCTACCAAATCATCATTTAAATCGTCATCTGAAAAATCATTTGATGTCTATAAAAAAATAAATAAAAAAATATTAATATGGGTAATATAAGATAATAAAAAAAGAGGGAAAAAAAAACACTTACAATATCAGTTGCCATTGAAGTATCAACTGTAGTATCTGATAGCTCATCATCTGTTTTATCTAAGAAATAATCGTCACCACCAAAGGTTCTTACAATTCTTGGATCTTTTGATGCATCTTGTTTATTATTTACTTTAACTAATGGTTTACTATTGAATTTTATTGGTATCGTATTAAATGAACACTATAAATATTTTTTAATTTTTTTAAAAAAATTTTATAATTAATATTTATTTATTTTTTATAATATTAGAAATTTTATATCTATTATTTTTCAATACATACATTGATTTGTGGTTCTGGTTTTAAACCTTTTGTGAATGATAAATTTACACTTTGACTATGCTTTGAGTTCATGTATGAGGTTAGGTCCAATTCTATTTTCCCTAAAACCTTGCCTTGAGACTTCTTTTTTTCTTCTTTTAATTGTAGAGATAGTTTCTTTTCATCTGGTTTTTGTGATTTTGAATCAATAAAAAATTTACTTTCGAACGAGATCTTTTCTTCAAAAATTGCTTCGCTATTTCTTACAATTATATGTGATGTTTCGCCTGAAGATTTACTTGTACCTCTTCTCCAATAAACAAACACCGAACCCCCATTTAACTCTTTTAAGTTAACAACTTTTTTAATTAATATTTCAACTTTAACTTTTAATACATCCTTTCCTTTATGTTTTTTTAACATTTTTTATAAAAAAAAATTATAAAATTAAAATAAATAAAATAATTCCTTTTATATAATTAATATTTTTATTATTTTTATTATTATTATTATTATTACTGTCTGTATAAAGAAAAAATAAATAAAAAATAAAAAAGAAATAATCTATGTATAATTGGTATATGTGTTTTTTATTATAAAAAAAATAAACCACACACAAACACAATAAAAATCGAGATTATAATGAAAAAAAAATAAAATTTTTTTTTTAATTTTTAAAAAATAAATTAAAAAAAATAAAAAATAAAAAATAAAAAAATAATATAAATAATGCATACGTTTGCATAAATACCCCAAATTTTCACCTTGTGGATGACATAAAAGAAATCAAAAAAAAATCAAATAAAAAGAAATCATGAACATCAATTAACATAATATATTTTATAACCATTATTAAAATTCCCACACAAAATCTTTACTATTATTGACCTTTGCTAAAAAAAAGAAATCTATTAAAATACAAAATATGAATGATTTAAATAAAATTTATTATAAAAATCAATTAATGGTATGATGTATTATAAAAAAATAAAAATTCAAATAAAAAAAAGAATCAATGTCAAAAAATAAAAAAACTATTCAATTTAATAAAGGGAATTAAGAACAAATTTTTTTTAAGTAATTTTCTCAATTTATTAAATATTTATAATAAAATAAAAAAATAAATAAAAAATAAAAAAAAAAAAAGAAAAATTTTTTTTTTAAAAAACGAAAAAAAAAAAAAAAAAATTATCGTTTTTTATCAAATTTTTTATTTTTTTTTAAATTACTCTTTATATTTTTAAATAAATAAACAATTATGTCAGAGTTAGATAATAATAATACTATTAATAATAGTGAAGGAGAAGAAGAAAACTACGAAGAATTAACAGAAGAACAATTAAATGAATTAAATGAATTAAATAAAGATGATACCAATTCACCATTTGGACAAAGAACACCAATTAAATCATTATCAGAATTAATTTCAGAAGCTAATTCAAACAATAAAGGTGGTGAAGCAAGTATCGAAGGTGATTTAGTCGAATCAATGGGAACTTTAGCATTAACCAACGAAAAGACCACTGCAAATTTTTTAATTATCGATACCAATGCTTTAATTTCTGGTGTTAGATTAGAAACTTTAGGTAAAGAACTTTGGACCATCCCAGAAGTTTTAGAAGAAGTTAAAGATAAGAAAACTAGTGACTTTGTTACTGCTTTTCCATTCGAAATTAAAACTAGACAACCAACTCCAGAATCAGTTAAAGCAGTTATTGATTTCTCAATGAAAACTGGTGATTATCCATCTTTATCTGCCCCTGATATTAAGCTTATTGCTTTAGCCTATACTTTTGAAGCCGAAGTTAATGGTACTGAACACATAAAAACTGAACCAGAAAAGATTCAAGTTACAACTTCAAAACCACAACAAACCTCAATTAATAGTAAATCATTTAACCCATCAGAAAATAATAATAACAACAACAACAATACTAATAAAAAAGAAAAGAAACCAAAACAACCAAAAGAACCAAAAGAACCAAAAGAACCAAAAGAACCAAAAGAAGTTAAACCAGCAACTACTGAAAATAAGGTTGAGGGAGAAAATACAGCTGATAAACCAAAAAAGAGAAATAGACCAGGTAAACAACAAAGATTAGCATTAAAGAAGAAAGCTGAAAAAGCTGCCGCTACTGCAACTAAAGAAACTTCACCAGAAATTAAACAAGAAGAACCAATTAAAACTGTTGTTGAAGAAAAAGTTGATACCCCAGTTGCTGTTGTTAAACCAACTGAAGATAATTGTAAATGTGAACACAATCATGAAAAAGAAGAACAGGTTAAAGAAGAAAAAGAAGAAAAGGAAGAAAAAGAATCAACTACTACATCTACAGCTACCAATAGCACTAATAATAATAATAAATCAAAGAAAAATAGTAAGAAAAACAAATTAGTTGTTAATTTAGATAAAATTGAAGAAGAAGTTTCAAAAGAAAAAGTAGTAGATCCAAATGAAGTACTTAGACAATTAAAACAAAAGCAAGCTGAAGAAGCTGAAGAAAGAAAGAAGAATAGAACTATTTCAAAAGAAGACGAAGGTGAATGGATCACACCAGATAATATTTCAAAGGTTTCAACTACTTATGTTCAAGAAAAAGTTCATTATGATGTTGGTTGTATTACTAAAGATTTCTCAATGCAAAATGTTATCCTTCAAATGGGTCTTCATTTAATTAGTGTAGATGGTGTTGTTATCAAACAAGTCAAACAATTCGTTTTAAAATGTGTTGCATGTTTAAAGTAATTATAAATTTAAAAATAATAATAATAATTAATATCATATTAATGGTTTTTTTTTATTTATTTATTTATTTATTTAGTATTACAACTGATATGGAAAAAATATTTTGTTCACATTGTGGTAATAAATCTTTATATAAAGCAACAACCTATGTTGATAGAAATGGTAATCAAAGAGTATCAGTTGGTTCTGCTAAGCAATTTAATTTAAGAGGTACCATTTTTTCAATTCCAAAACCAAAGGGTGGCAAGAAACATAGTGATATGATTGTAACTGAAGAACAATATATACATAGATTAAAAGTCACTGGTCAATATTATAAAAAGAAGGTTTCAAAGGAAATTAATTTAGACGATCTTGAAATGGGTTTTGGTCATACTGGTCCATCAGATAATATTGTTATTGGTTATGGTAATAAAAATCCAAATATTGCACGTAAGAGAATCGGTAAAAAGAACAAATCAATTTCAATCTTTTAAAATTATAACTTTTAATCAGCTATAATATAATTAAAAAAAAATAAAAAATTTATAATTATAAAAAAAAAAATAAAAAATAAAAAATTTTTAAAAAAAAAAAGTATGGTTTATCCTTTAGGTACAAAGATTATTGTAGTTTTATTAATATGTTATTTTGGTTATTCTTTTTTTAATATACAGGTACATATTATTATGAGAGAGAATAACCTTTAGTTTTTTTTAAATTAAGCAGTTGGATAAGAGGCACATGAAGCTATACCACAATTGTTCTTTCTATTCTTGGACATTTGAATGAAACCTTGCATACCCCATGATACACCCTGAATAAATTAAAAATTTAATGATTAGTATATATTTAGAACTATTTAATTTTTTAATGCTAGTTAATACATACCCATCTATAGTTTTTATTAAAAAAAGAAATAAAAAAAGAAATAAAAAAATATTAGTACTTTTAACAAAAATTTGAAAGTTTATAAAATTATTGATACATACGAATTTTTAACTAGCCAGTATTGGGATGTTTTTCTTCCATCATCGGATGATGAGTCAGTAACAATTTCATCGATACCAAAGTCATCATTATGTCTAATTCTAATTTGATGTTTATTTGGTGAAGCATTGTTTTCATCTTTTTTGGCAACACCATAACCAACAACCAATACACCATGGTCTAATTCAGTTGGTGAGCATTTTGGTTCATAGTATACACCAGAGCTGTATAATTGGAAGGAATTATGGGAGGCATCAATAGCAACAGAAACTGGACCATTTTTAGCAACTGCAGTTTCTAGTTGACTTTCTGAACCAGCAGTGATGTTAACATAGCCGGAAAGAGTAGCACCTATACTAGTTGGTTTGAAAAGACATTTGGTACCACTTTGGGCTTTGTATGGGTATGATGATTCAGTATCAATACCTTTATTTTGAATAATATAAATAAAAGCATTATCCATTAAACCACCATCGCATCCAAGATTTCCTTCAGCACCAGAACAATCAACGAGATTTTGTTCAGAAAGTGAAACTAATTTACCTGTTTTAATTTGGTGGGCACCTTCAACTGAACCGGTTGTAGAGAAAGACCAGCATGAACCACATTGTCCTTGATCTTTAATTGGAGTTACTGCACCTTTCTTGTTCCAATCTACTGAGGTTGGGTTTCTGCCATCGTCACTTCCAAATATTTCCTCAAGAGCACGGCCATCATATCCACGGTGGAGCAAAGAGTTAACGTGAGTACCCAAGTAATATTTTTGATATTCGAGATTGGTAAGATCGGCAAAAATATTAAGACCTAAGACAGTTTCGCTACCTTTGCTATTCCAGTCATGTACATAGTCCATATTATCTTTGAAAATTCCGTAACGACGACCAAATTCTTGGTTTTCATATTGCTTGCCATGTTTAATAGTCCATTCGGTGAAAGCGGTTTTATATTGTTGTTCAGTGAATTTTGAATTGATTTTATATCCAGCTGAAAAATTTATAAATATTATTAAAAGTAAAGCAAATAATAATCTCATTTTTTATTATTATATTATTATTATTGTTATTTTTTTAAATGATATATTAATAAAACAAATAAAAAAAAGTGAATTTAGTATTTATTATTTTTTGATTATAAGTGAACAAAAAAAATTTTAAAAAAATTAAATTAAATTTAAAAAAATGTTATTATCTTTTAAATTAAAAAAATAAAAAATAAAATAATTTATCTATAATTATTTATATATATATATAAAATATTTAGTTTGAAATAGAAAAAAGATTATATTAATTAAATTATAAAAAAAAAAAATATTTAAATATTTTTGTTTTTTTAAATTATAATATTGAAAATAATGTTATTTATTTAAAAAAATAAAATAAAAAAAATTTTATATGTATTTAGGGATGGTGGGTGTATTGTTATTTTATTTTAAATTGTAATAATTTTTTATTTTGATAATAATTTAAACATATTTGTATTATTTTTGCCCCCACCACTCTCATCATCCCCCATTTTAAAAAAAACAATTTATTTATTTTTTTATTGTTAATTTGAATTATATAAAAACAAAATAGAAATTTAAAAAGAAAAATCAAACGACAGTTCTTTTTTTAATTTCTTTAATAGGATAAAAAATTCTATCATTTGAAAAAAAAAAAAAAAAATAAAAAAAAAAAAAAAAAAAATTTCTTTTTGTAACCAATTATAATTGATTTTTTGTTATTATGTAATATTTTATTTTTTTACATTAATTATTTTTTAGATTTATATTGGTCATTCTGACATGGGGTCTTTTTTAAATTTATTTTTCCAACCAAATTAATTCTTTGAAATAACGTCTGGGGTAAAAAAATAAATCACAACTGATCTAAAAATAACATTCCCTCATTTTAAAAAATGGAGCCTTTTTTAAAAAACTGATGAACCAAAATAGATTGATTTAAAAAGATTATTAAAAATTATTGTGCGCTATATAAAATTTCTGTTTCCCTTTATAGGCTAATAGATTAATAAATAAAATTGTCATTGTGATTATTTGAATACTATAAATTTTTACTATTATTGTTTTTATTTGATCCTGTATGATTATTTTTTTTATATTCTATAGAATATAAATATTTGATCTTAAATATTTTAAAAATTAATTTTAATATTTAAAAATTTTTTATTGGAATGTTCATTTTATCTAATTTAATTTTTTTTTTTTTTTTTTTTTTTTTAATTTGGTTGATCTGAGTTTTCCATTTAAAGAATTTTTTAAAATAAAAAAAAAAATATAAATAAAATAAAAATAAAAATAAATAAAAATAAAAATTTTAAAAAAAAATTTTAAAAAAAAAATTTAAAAAAAAAAAAAAAAAGACGAAAAATTTTTAGATTTGGTCATTAAAAACAAATATTTGACGAAACAAATAAATATATTCCAAAATAATTTTCTTTTATTTTAATTAATTTTGTTTTGTTTAAATCTATTTATTTAATTTTAATTTTAATTTTAATTTTAAAATTTTTTTTTCACTCATACCACATTTTTTTTTTATTTTTATTTTTTTTTCATTTTTTAAAATTATTATTTTTATAAATAGTATTATTTTTATTTTTATATAAATGAAACAAAATAATACAAAGCAAAAGCAACAGCAGTCACCTCAACAATCACAACCCAGCAATAATAAGGGAAACCCAAAGAAAAGAACTAACGATCAAATAACCAAAGAAAGTACAGCTTCAAAATTGGTTAAAGGTTTAAAAATTCAAAACGATAAAAAATCAACAAACCAACAACAAATGAAAAAAGTCAAAACTGATAATAATAATAATCAAACATCAAAACAAAATACTAATAAAAATAATAATAACAGCGGTAATACTTTATCACACGAAAATATATTAAAATCAATAATCGATTCATATATCGTACCATTAACCAATGGTGAAAATAATAGAGGGTTTTTTGATGTTAAGACCTATTTACCAAATGTTATAGTTTTATTACATCAAAATCAATGCTTAAAGAAATGTTTAGACTCTAGTGTTAAATTATCAGCAGAAGGCGTCAAGCTTAGGGAAAGATGGATGGAAATCTTAAATTATCTTTTGAAACCATCAAATAGTAACCTCTGGGTTGGTATTCACTTATTATGCGAGACCATTCGTGTATGCGATTACGATATTATGATTAGCAAGTTGGATCAATGGTTAGCTTTATTAACTCAATTAGTCGAAGGCCAAAAGAAATCAATTCAACAAAAACAAAATGGTGCTTCCAACAAATTAGCTTATAAATCTGGTTCAAAGAAAGAAGAAAATAATATTACATTTAAAGAATATGGATCAATTATTATCGTTTTATCATTGCTCGTCGAAAAAGCAACCAAATGGAACGATTTAAAGAGAACTATTACCAACAACACAGTTATGTCACCAATTGTCCATTTAATTTTAACCTCTTTAGATAAGGATCTTGGTTACCCAGATGAATGCAAGGTAGATTCATTAGTAGCAATTACATCTTTGATTCAATCTGCTAGCACTGCTCTTAAGCCATATCTTAATAAAATCGAAACCCTTGTTTATCCATTACTCTTTAACAATAATAAATCAATTCAAGAGTCAGCTTCGTCAGTAATCGCTCATTTACCACAATGTGTTGGTATCAATTCAACTGAATTCTATTGGGATGTCTCTGTACAAAAGATTTTAAAAGAAATGAACGATATCATTGACAATGTCTTCACTTTCCTTGAGGACGACGATAAACAAAATGGCGGTGGTAACAAAACCCACGTCGATAGTCCAAAAGTTGCATCTGGTGCCAACTCAAGCAGACAAATTAATTTACCATCAACAAGCAAACTTATAAATATTGGTGATGATGCCAACTCAATGTTAAAATCATTGGTCAATGTTAAATTCCCAGAAGCACCAAAAGAACCACATTTACAAACTAGTTTTTATATTAAAGCATTCTTTGGTTTATCCCATTGTCTTTTACGTATCTTTTCTACTTCAAGTGCCACTGCCTCGCCTGTACCAATTGATGAAGTTATAAAATTAATTTGCAGAATTTTAAATCCAAATTTAAATCATTTAACTTTTTCAAATTTAATTATGGTATGTTTTAAATCAAATAATTATTATTAATATAATGTTTATATTATATAACTAACATACCCCTCTTTTATTTATATAGTCCTTTTCAATTTCTCAAATGATTTATATTATTCAACAATTACACTTACAAGCATTTATAATTTTATCAGGTATTTTAAAGATTTTTAGAAAATCATTATTAGTACATTGTAAAACTATTTCAGCATTATTATTAAGACCATTGAAATCATTAAACTATTCATTAATGAGTCCAATCATTCATGCTCAAATCTATTCAACTATTAGCGATGCCGTTGAATCCTTTGGTGCTTCAAGTTCAGAATCATTAGCAGTTCCAGTTTTAAAAATATTATTAAGAGATATTTTACCATACATTCCAGAAAGTATTAGTCAAACTGCTTCAACTACTGCAGTTAGTAATGGTAAACAACAATCTGCAAATTCAACTACAGCCTCATCAAGTGTTATTCAACAAAATATTAGAAACACAATTAATCAAACAATTGGTAATGTTGATACCACCCTTCAAGATTTTAACAGTTTAACAATTAAACAAAATTCACTTACTGCCTTATCAAGTATTTTATTACATTGTGGTTCATATCTTCAACAACAACAACAACAGGGCTATTCATCATCAAATGCTTTTGAAGAGGAGCAATCGACAAACATTAACAATACCAATAAGAATATTTTAAGATTCGAAATCGATCAATTATTGGTATCATTATTATTAGAGTGCCAATCATTAGCTAGTGTTAAAAAGAATTCAATCACCTATTTAAATAGCTCATACAACTGCTGGAGATACCGTTCAAAATTATATGAATGTTTAATTCATTGTGTTTTAAAACCAGTTTCAAATACTCCACCAGTCCTTCCATATGCCATGCGTATCTTTACCAATGGTATGAATACCGACCATTACCCACGTGTAAGAACTATTTGCTGTAAAGGTCTTAGTGTTTGCGAATCAATCATTCATCCACAAACCCCATCACTTTCAACCACTCAATCAGTTCATTCACTTTCAATGAATTTAAATTATAAAGGTGGAAGTAGTACCAATATTTTAAGCGACGATGAAGGCGACAATCTATCAGATGATGAAGACTACGATAGTTTAAATGATTCAGATGATTTAGATGATTTAGATGAAGGTAACATTGATGAAGAAGATGACGACTTAAATGAAAAAATAGAAATTAATTCAAATGATTTAGAAACCGATGATCTCGACGAATCAATTCAAGAGGAACAAGAAGAAGAAGAACAAGAAGAAGAAGAGGAAGAAGAGGAAGAGGAACAAGAAACCGAATCAAAAGAAGAAATTAAATTAGTTAAAGGTCAAGAAAATAATAATGTAGTAATGAAAACTTCATTATTTAGTGCCTCAACCATCACCCAACAACAAAACTCTGTTAAAATTTCAAAAATCGAAACAAAGAAATCATTCTCAGCTACTTCTGCCGCTCCAATAGAAGATGAAGATGACGACAATGATTTAGATTTACCAGATATTGAAGATTAAATTCATCATACCAAAATAATTTATGGTAATATATTATTACCATAAATGATAATAATACTTATTTTACAAAAATATAAATCATATTTTTCTCAATCCTATCGACAATTTTATTTATTAGGTAAATTAAAATAAATAAAAAAAACTCAAAATTATTTTTCATTAAAATTATTTGAAATCTGGCTCCTTATTTTTTTTTTTTTATAATAATTATAATGGTTTTTTTTTTTTTTTTTTTTTTTTTTTTTTTTTTTTAAATTTGGGAATTTTTTGGGTTTTTTTTAAACCAAAATTTTTTATAAAAAAAAAAAACTCCAAAAAAAAAAAAACATTTTTTTTCCAAAAAAAGGGGGGGGTTCCATTAAAATTTTTAAAAAAAGAAAAAAATTTTTTTTTTTTTTTTAATGGGGGGTCCCCCCTCTGGATTTTAAACTACTTTTTTTATTACCCCCCCAGATCTTTTTTTGCAAACATAATAAATATTAATAAATTCTTTTGGGGGGGGGTGGAAATATTTTTAATCAAAATTATATTAATGTAAAAAAAAACACCAATTATTAAAAAACTACACCCACACACACACCCACAACATATATACTTATTCACTCCGCCACACCCACCAAATACAACATTATTAATAGAGAAAAAAAAATAAAAAAAATAAACAGTCACACACACACCCACTCCCCACTTAACTCACATTATATATTGTTTTTCTCTTTTAATTAATTTTTTTTATATTTATATATTTTTTTTTTTTTATTTTTTATTTTTTATTTTTTTTTATTTTTTTTTTTTATTTATTTCAAATCATCTAATAGAAAAAAGTAACAAACCATTATTTATAATAATTTATATATTATTATTATTATTATTGTTTTTAATAATAAAGAAAATATAATAATAGATAGTTATTTTACATCATTTTTAATCATCACCAGAATTTTAAATCACCACTCAATCAAATTAATCATATTGTTAGCAAACAAACAACAAACAGGTGAATCATCATCATCATCATTTTATCTCATCGTAAAACAGAACAAAACAATAAAATTTATATATACTTTTTTAATTACATAAATTACAATTATAAAAATTTTATTTATTATTGTTTAAATTGGTTTTATTTCTTATTTTTTATAATAAAAAAATTAACTATCTATATATAGTATCAAAATTTATATATTTTATTTTTTTTGTTTTTAAATATTATTTTTTTTAAAATTTTTTTTTTAATTTTATTTTTTAATTTTTTTTATTATTTTTAAAATTAAACTTTTTTTTTTTTTTTTTTTCATAATATAAAATAATAATAATAATAATAATAATAGTTATATTAATTGTGTTTTTTTAATTTATTTTAGAATAGAATAAATCACACAACCTAAAAATAGAAACAAAAGATTTTTTTTTAATAAAATATACACAATAAAATAATAAAATAACAACATCACATTTGTTTTAAAATAATTTTATGTTTTTATAATTTTAATTTTAATTTTTAAACCAATAAATAAAGAAAATAAATATATAATAATAATAAAAACATATTTAAACAATATAATATTTATATATTATATTTAAAATAAATATAATATAAAGATAAAGAATTAATAATATTAATAAAACAATAAAATAATATGTTTAACTCATTTCAAGAAAGGCAACCAAATACTGATAATATAATCAGTGCCAAATTAAAACTAAATGAGTTTTTTTTAACTTATTTATCACAAACAGAAACTACACAATATATTCACGATTTATTAAATGGTTTAAATAATAGCACTCCCAATAGTACTCCAACTAAACTTCCAACATCACCTTCAACATCACCATACAAAGCACACCCAAGTGATGAACCAGTTGTCTTTTCATTAGGTGAACCAACTACACCAAATGACAATATTCAAGAGATTGACAGCTTACAAAACTTACAACCAGATTTCACAAAATCATTAAATAAAGAAATTGTTAATAATGAAGAGCAAAAAATTAGAATTGAAGAGCCACAGCACCAAGCAGAATTGTTAACCCAAGAAAAAATTGAACAAAATTTTGTTGATGAAACCAATAAACAAACCAATGAACAAGATAATGTAAAAGTAGTAGAGCCAAAAGAACAAGAGAAACGACAAGAACAAAAAATTGAATCTGTAGTAATGGAGCAGCCACAACAACCAAAGCCAAAAGTTGAAACTATAGAGAATGAACAAGATAAAATTATGGTTGATACTATTAATACAACCAATAATACTGTAAATAGTAATGAATGTACACCACCACCACAAAAAATAGAACAACAACAACCAACAATTAAAATACCTCAATTTTATTTCCCAAATAATAAAAAAATCACAACCTCACCAAATGTAAATAACGATAGCTTTGAGTTTGGTTTGTCAACGATCAAGCATAACTTTGAACTATTTAAAGGTCAACCAGAATCAGTTGACCCAATAACAAATAATGTAATTAATAATAACACCAATAACTGTACTACTACAACTCATTATATAACATCATTTGACGAATTTGAAACTATAATTAAAGAACTTTATACATTCCCTAGGATTTTAAATAGGCTATTATTTATATATACACTTAGAACGCTTAGATTGAATGACATTTGTATTACAGAAGATAAATTTGTTGAGTAAGTATCATAAAAACCATTCCGCTTAAAAAAAAGGTATAATAAAACTAATTCATTTTTTTTTTTAATTTAATTTAGGTTTTGGAAAAACCATATTTACGGAAAAGAACCAGAAGAGCTTTTATTTAATATTTTAAGAAAATCAGAAGATTCAAAATATTTATATTATGAGGACTTTTTCTTATTTTCAAAAAGTTTGTATTATTTATTATTTATTATATATTATTTATTATTTTATTAATTTTTAATTTATTATTTTTTATATTTTTTATTTTTTTATTTTCTCCAATAGCGCTAATTGATTTTCATCCAGGTTTAGAATTTTTATCAAATACACCAGAGTTCCAAGATAGATACCAAGAGACTATTATCATTAGAATCTTTTATGGTACATGCAGAAATAAAGGTAGAATAACAGTTAAAGATTTGAAATCAAATAACTTTATAAGATCATTAAGTTTATTGGATGCCGAGCCCGATATTAATAAGGTAAAAAAAAATAATATATTCATAAATTAAAAATTAATATTAATTCATGTTTTATTATAATATTAATTATAGCATTTAGAATACTTTTCATATGAACATTTCTATGTAATTTATTGTAAATTTTGGGAATTGGATATAGATCATGATTTATTTATAGATGCAAATGATTTAGCCAAATATGGTAGTTGCAGTTTAACCCCTTTAATTATAGATAGAATCATTATCAACGCAATTTTTACTAAAACTTTATTTGGTGTCAAAAACAAACTTTCTTATCAAGATTTTGTTTGTATGTATCATTTTTATAAACTAACTATTATTATTTAATTAAATAGAGTTTATTTTTATAATACTAACTATAATTATTAATTTAATAGGGTTTATTTTATCTGAAGAGGATAAAACAAGTGAAACAAGTATTGAATTTTGGTTTAGCTGTGTAGATATTGATAGTGATGGATTTTTAAGCTTATATGAAATGGATACATTTTATAAAGAGCAAAAGCAACGTTTAGATTATTTAAATTTAGACCCACCAGTATTCAAAGATCTTTTATGTCAAATATTAGATATGGTAAAACCAGATGCAATCGAGAAAATTACATTATTGGATTTAAAAAGTTCAAAAATGGCAGGTTACCTTTTTAATATTTTATTCAACATAAACAAATTCTTACAGCAAGAGTCAAAAGAATCAATTACCTGCGATCAACCAATGAGTGATTGGAATAGATTTGCCCTACAAGAATATGAAAGGGCATTGGCCGAAGAATCACTATCATATCAAGAAGATGATGAAGATGATGATGAAGAAGATGATGATGACGAAGACGATAGAAGAATGCACATTGAATAAAATATTAAATAAAATTTATTGCATAAATTTAAAAAAAAATAAAAAGTCTTATTTCCTTGTTACTAATATTTTTTATTTTAATATCTTTAATTTTTTTTCTTGTCAATTCTAAACCAAGTTTCCCAATTAATTTTTCTTAAAATCTGTAACATAACTCATAATTTTTTTTTAAAAGTGAAGATAATTAAAAGACCTAACTCATAATTTTTTTTTTTTTTTTAAATGTGAAGATAATTAAAAGCAAATGCTTTAAATTAATCAGTAAAATCCCTAACTCCCTTGTAGGAAATTCGTTCGACCACTTGGCTATCATTGCTCCCCCCTAACTCATAAACTTCTTTATTTTTCAAAATAGTAGGTGATCAGTATTATTTTTAAAAAGTGTTTTTTTTTTTTAAAAAAAAAGGTTAAATCACCGGAAAGATAACCATAAATAAATTTAATCGACAGCTGCAGGGTTCGAACCTGCGCCTCCGAGGAGATCTGATTTCAAGTCAGACGCGTTAGACCACTTCGCTAAGCTGTCAAGTTGATGATTCTCTTTCAAAAGGTGTACTATCCAGAATTATATTGTGAAGAAGAGATCAACTCAGGAAATACTTGCTGAAAATTTTCGAATCACAATGCCCGTTCTGTCCAGACAAAGAATCATCAGAAATTATATTCTTCAAGTGTCCATCGGTCAATAAACCGGTACAAGAAATAATAATCAAATTTTAAAAGAAGCTCAGTACAATCCTGTAGTATGGGACGAACACCTGTTTACCAAAATGGATAAACCATTCCTAGCAAATTTAACAGCAACAATTTTCGAACTAATATGGTACAGAAGAAACAAGAAAAATCATGAACATTTCACCTACGAGTTAACATATGAAAGAGTACTCAAGAGATTCAAGTTAATCTGCACAGCAGCATGGGAAAGTAAAGTCAAAAATATTAACAGAAAATATAAGAAACTTCAACACCAAGATCCAGCTAGTCAGCGATACTACACAATGAAGATAGTCAACAGGCTTGAAAAGTTTAGCAAGATATGGAATTCAGATATATTTAAATTTCAATTTAGTCTTTCAATATTTTTTTACTACCTGGATATTTTTTAGGTTCAATTGGATCATTTAATTCATAATTTCTCATTCTATGCAGTAAAAATGGACCCAATTAAATTAAATGCTAAACTTATGGACAATCTCGAATTTGATAGAGATGGTTATGTTTTTGGTACTTTAGAATTAACTTTTGATGCTAGATCAGGTGGTGATGTATACTATTCATGTGCCAATGTTCGTTTCCAAAATACAACTGCTGCTGCTAAAAGTAAAGGTCAAAAAATCAAAGTTGAATCAACTTTAACTCTTACTGACGGTAAAGGTAACCAACGTGGTGATATTGAATCTGATGGTAAAGCAACTGAACTCATCGTCCCAGATTTAATCAGTCACGAAGCTAAAGTAGACTCTGAAGATATTTACCTTTTAATTGATATATTGAAAATAAAAAATATAGGATTTACACAATAATTATTGTGTCTTACCCAGCCAAAATCATATGGAAAATACTGTAGAGTGAAAATACCGATACACCTTGGAAAGCTATAAACGGATGCTTTTATTTTTTTAAAAAAAAAAAAAAAATATTTTTGACAGAATCCAATTTTTCCCGGAAAGACCCATGGTTCTCTAATGAGTGGGTCTCTCCAGATCATCATTTCATTGCTGTAAGGAATTCTTGAAAATATATTTTCAATTTCAAAATTTATTATCTCAAAAAAAATAAAAAATATAAAATTATGGGACTAAATATCCTCCCTGCCACAATCCAAAAAAAAATTTTAAAAAAAAAAAAGTGAGTGGGAAAAAAAATTGAGAAAATGGATAATTTTTCGAGCAAAGTTGGAAACATCAAATATTAACCAAAACTTTTAAAAAGAGAAATTTCTTTATTTATATTATTAATTTGAACCCCTACTTTATATATGTTCAAACTAATGGGGTGCTTACTCCAACTAAGATAAAAAAGTATCCTATTAGGTTTTTTCAAATAAATAACCAAAACAATTGTAAAAACTATAAAATAAACTCTACATCATTAGGATTTAAATTGGATAATATTTAGCAATTACTTTAAAATTTTTTTTATTTTTTTTTTATTTTTTGTTACCATTTACTGTTTAGTTTAATGTGATAATGGTTTTTTTAAATGATCTTCGGAGTGATCAATTTTAGACCATTCCCAACCACCTCTACCATTAAATAATAAAACATAGTCGTGATAAGCTCTTAATTGTGGACGATGTGAAACAGTGAAAAGGGTGATGCCTAATTTCTTGCATGTTTCGTAGATTTTACCTTCAACTTCATCACTTACAGCACTAGTACATTCATCAAGGATGGCATATTGTGGACGATGATAAAAGAGACGAGCCATGGCAATACGTTGTTTTTGACCACCAGAGAGGGCAGTGAACCAATCTTTAGTGTCATCCCAACTCCATTGTCTAATAATGGTAAGATTTGGATCGACGGTAGCCAAGAGATGTTGAAGATCGTCATCGGTAACACCTAATCTCTTCATATCGTCGTGGCTATGTGGATAGATAATTTGATCACGGAGAGTTCCCAAAACGAGGTATGGTTTTTGTGGTACAAATAAGATATCTTCTTTTCTTGGTTTGATAACAGTACCGCAATGAAGTGGCCATAATTCACCTAAAATTCTAAATAATGAACTTTTGCCTGAACCATTTGGACCAGTAATCATAACATTTTGGTGTGGCATAACTTGGAAATCTAAATTTTCGACCAATAATTTACCCTCTGGTGAGACAATTGAAACATTTTCAAATTTAATGAATTCACCTTCGACAAAAGTACCACCTCCACTAACTTGGTTAGCATTGGAATTGGTAGTACGGGATTGACTACGTTTAATAAGACGAGTTTGGTCTGATCTCTTTCTCCATTCTTCTAACCAGCTTGACATATCGACATTGCTATCATATTTTTCATTAACTGGTGAGTTGCTATTGGTTAATAAACCTGGAATTTCATCTTCGTGAACAATAGTAAATTGTGATGTACCACGTTCCTTAATTTGTTTGATCATTTCTAAGAGCTCTGAAACACGTGAAGTATAACCTGCCATCAAGGTTACCTTATTACCTAATAATACAAGTTGTCCAATGGCTTGTGATAAAGCAACCATTAATTGAGTATTTCTAATATAATCTTTGGTTAATTCAGTTGAATCTTTATTTGAACTACCTCTGATACCAGTGTAGATTGGTAATACCATACAACCATAACCAACAATTGATGCACAATATTTAACTAAAAATCCATCAAAAACTATAAAAAAATAAATAAAAAATTAATTAATATCGAAGTTAAATATTATAGAATATAAATTTATATACTACTTACTTCCAACTAAGCACTTAAGGTAACTAACATAACCGGTATGATTATAGATATCACCAAATGATAAATTTATAATTTGTCTTTCTTTACGACTACCATCATAGAAGGCAATTTCTTCAGCATTAGTAATTAATCTTTGATGAACAGTACGATAATTACCTTCGAGTTCAGATTGCTTAGCAGTTAACTATGGTTATAAAATAATTAGTATAAAATTAACTTTATATACATGGAAATAAATAAATATGCTATTAAATCTAAACTTACTCTACCAAATGGTGGCATAATAATCTTTTTCAAGAAACCTGAAACAATGAAATAACCAAACATTAATAATGGTGAACCCCAACCCATAACAACTACAAGTTTTCTGGTGAATAATACTAAATCTAAAAATGGTTTGAATAAAGTAGTATATAAATTACTCATAGAATTACAAAACTGTTCGATATCTGATGTTACTCTTTGATCGCTATATAATTTTAATGTTAAAATATTAATATTAACTTAATGATACAATAGGATATTTTATGTATTGCTATAACTTACGCATTATCAATTCTATCTGCACCACCTAAATGGGAAGCTTTATAAAAATTAACACCTTCTAAATATTCTTTGTGAACATATTCGGATAATCTCTTTCTGAAACGAAGTGCCAACATATCGGTTTCATATTTAAGTGAACTGTTAACAAATGAAGCTGGAATGGAAACAAGGGCAAACTTGAGAACACCATTTCTCATTTCGGTCCATTTTCTAGCTACAAGATTTTGAGCATTTTTACCAGCGATTTCAGCAATTGATACTGATAACATTGTACGGGCAAATAATAATGCTGTTAAATATAATAAACTTAAAAATTCTTTACTCTTTAATGATGGAATGCAAATTCTTATAATCTTTGCTAAACGTCTAAAAAAGACTGCATCAACTCTGGTAACATTTCTTTTTTTATCTTGTTTATTATTTTTATCTTTTAAATCGATAATTAAACCACTTTGCTTATTACCTAATTAAAAAAAATTAGTAAAACTATCCATTATTATGTGTATGTATCTATATTATTTAGTTATAATTACCTTGATTTTTAGCTTTATAGAATTTAATTAAAGAGAATGTACCACCACCAAGAGCTAACAAAACCAAAACTTTTTTTCCGATGGATCCACTTAATTGATGTTGACCACCCGAGAAAAGAGCTTTGAGTCTATCAAGATTTCTTCTAACGGATCTGTTTTGTATACCAGCTAATGCTGATGATACAAAATTAGTTTCCATTATTACTATTGAATATTTATTATTATAAAAACTATAAAATATAAATTATATAATGTTTAAATAATAAAAACCCTTTTTAAAATAAAATATTATTATTATTATTTATTATTATTTATTAATATAAATAAAAAAATTATTAAAAAATACTAAGTTAGTAAAAGATATTAAAATTAGAAGATTGTTATTGAGATTATTTATAAATATTTTGTAAATTATTGTATATTATTGTATAAAATACTATTTAATTATGAACTCTATATTTTTTTTATTTTTTTTTATTTTTTTGGGAAAGAAAAGGAGAAAAGGAAATAAATGAATAAATAAAAATAAATGAACAAATAAAAGTTTTTAAAAATTAAAAATCAACAAATTATTGAAATTTTATGTGTGAGAGTGTTAAATAAATAAAAATATAATAATATAAATGTGTCTCTATATACAAGTGTGTGAAAATGTTTGTGTGTGCAAATAAAATATTTAATTATATTTTCATGCTTTATATTTAAATTTATTATTATTATTATTTTAATAAAAAGGTATAAAATGAAACAAATAAAACTATGTGATTTACCAATTACTTTTTTTGTAATAATTTATAAAACTATTGTTAATATTTAAAAATTTCAAAACCAAAACAGTTTTTTTGAAATTTAATAAAAGAAAAGAAAAAAAATTAAAAAAAAAAATTAAAAAAAAATATTAAAAATTTTAAAAAAATTAAAAATTAAAAAAAAAAAAAAAGCTTTTCGTGATATGGTACCATGCCTAACTATTTATGGTAAATTGGTTGACAATTTATTTGTTTATTTATTTTTTATCATTATTTTTTAATATCTGAATTATTTTAAAAAAGATATTAAAACCATATACTATTAATTTTAGGTTTATGAAATATTTAAATATTAAATATTTAAAATAATATAATTTGAAATATATAAAAAAAACGAAAAACTAATTTTTTTTTTTTTTTGGTTTAAATTTTTAAAAAAATAATAATTTTTTTAAATCTAATTATTTATTATATAATTTATATAATTATTTATAATCTGTTTTTTTTTTTTTTTTTTTATAATTTTTTTTTTTTTAACAAGATTTTAAAGTGTCATTGTTTAAATAATTTTGTAAATCTAATAAAATATTTACTTTTCTTGATACTTTTAATTGATCATTTGGTTCATTTGATAAATGCTCAGTAATTTTTTGATGGACACATTCATAGTATTTGAGATAGGTGGCTGATGACATTTTGCAGATGAAGTCTAATTTACAAGAGTCAGAGGTGCATGGTTTGGATTCTGGGTAGGGTGATGATGAATAATAATAGTTGTAATATTTTTCAAATAAAGAGCTATCAGCAGTCATATTTGAAACAGCATGGTGCCAGCTTGTAGGTGTTAAATCTGGCATATTATATGCTTTGGTTGCATTGTATTCCAAAAGCCATGTTGGTTTGTCGTTAAGATTGGCTTGTGATAGATCTGTGTGGTAGGTTGATGATTCCATGACATAACCTGTTTGAGCATCAACTGTATAAATACGGAAGGATGGATTTTGATGTTGGTAGGTTGTAACTGATGGTGTTACATATACTACACTGGATGGTCTGGTTTGATTTGGATTGTTTTCATCTTGGGTATAATATATTTCGAATTCATCTCTGTGAGTGTGACCATAGAAGGAGGCAATAATGGTGTCTTCATAACGATTTACAATTTGGAAGAATTGTTCTGACCAGATATCAACGCAATCAGCAATACCAGGTGGGATGTGACCAACAAGATAAACCTTTTCGCCAATGTCTTCGGATGCTTGTAAAGTTTCAATAACCCATTGGAGCATACCAGCAGCATCGGTAGTACCATTTTCGACCATCCAAAGATTTCCATTGTTACACCAATTCATATTTAATGAAACTACACGAATACCATTTTGAACTGGAAGAGTATAGTAGCCACCCCATTGAAGAGTTTTAACTTGTTCGTCAGTGTTGATCCAGTCACTCCAATCGCTTGCTAAGGCATTGAATAACCATGAACTTCCTGGTGGTAATGGGAATGAATTAACTGGTAAGGATTCATGATTACCAATTGCTGGGAAAATTTTGCTAGATCCAAAGTATTTCTTTACTAAATTTGTTACCAATAATGATGAGTTTAGTTGACCATCGAATGTTTGTTCCCAAATATCGTGTGGTGGGTTGTCACCAGTCCAAAATACCATGTCAATTTCGTTACCAAATTCATTTTCAATGAATTCAAACATTGATCCTACCATTAATAAATTGACATCACATGAATAGTGTCCCCATTTACCTGCAGCATTTGATCCTTTACCTGGTCCATTGACAGCGCGGCAGCATAATGGTTCGCCACAATCTGCATTCATACCTTGCTCATAAATTGGATCTACATGAATATCTGAAAGATGTAAAATTTTCATAGTTGGTGATCCTGGTGATGGAGGAACTACAGGAACATGTGGTGGTTTTGGCTTTGGGAATATAACTTCTGGTGTATAATTACTAGGTTTATATGGACAAAAACCAACATATCCACAAACAAACTCACCATTTACACCTGGGAATGATAATACATTTTTTGCCATACCCATAAATAAAGGAATTAATCCTTCACACTATAAAAAAAATGAATATTAATATTAATTATTAAAATTAACAATATTTATCCAATATATATATATATATACTTACAACTTGTGGTTTTTCAATTCTTAAATAAGTGCATAAATCAATAGCCCATGCTTTGATATCTTCTGGGCCTTTTTCAGTGATAATCATCTTTTGAATCTCATTGATACCATATGTACAAACATCGCACTTTGTTCCATTTGTATCATATCCCAATCTCTTTAATAATACCTTATCATCTATATTATTTATATCTATATTATTATATTGATTTATGTTTATATCATTTTTATTATTATTTTGTTTGTTAATGCTATTATGACAATATGCTAAATTTATTATTAAAAATAATAGAATTATATTTATTATTTTCATTTTTTTATTTCTTTTCCTATATAATATTATTCGAAACAATATTGATTGTATTATATATTATTTTTTAAAGTAAAAAGAAAAAAAGAAAAAAAAAAAAGAAAAAAAAAATTTAATTAAATTTGAATTAAAATAATGTTATTGTGGGGTGTATTTGTTTTCTTTTTTTTTTGTGTGTGTGTGCTTTTTTTTCTTTTTTATAAATAAGTGAAATAAATGTGCCCTATTTAAATTAAAAATTTTATAAAAAAAAAAAAAAAATAATAAAAAAAAAAAAAATAAAAAAAAATAAAACTATTTGGGACACACCCGAAAACTATAAAATATAAAATATAAAATAAAATAGAAAATTAAATAGATTTTTTTTATCATTTATTTTTTTGTGCAGGTTTATAAAAAAAATAAAAATCTAAAAAAAATTTTTTTATATTTTGTATTTTTTTTTTTTAAAAGCCATTCGCTGTTATTAAAAAAAAAAACAAATAAATATTATTTTTAAAAGCTGTTCTCTATTATTAAAAAAAACATAAAAACAAAAATATGACAAGTATTGTGAGAAAAGTATATTTATTTGGGTTTAATAAAAGAAATGGTAAAGAATTTTGAGGAACAATTTTTTTTTTTAACAGATTAAAAAACTTAAAATTTTTAAGTTTTTTTTTTTTGAACAATTTTTTTTTTTTTTAACACAATAAAAAAAAAAAACATTGAAATTGTTTCATTATTATTCAACACTATTGGCTGAAGGGGATAGCCAAAGTTTATTTTTCATTTAAAAATATAAAATAACCTAAGTATTCCTCTTCATATTTCCAAACAAATCAATAATTACCCTCATTATAATAAAGGGTTTTTGTAATAATACAAATAATAACAATAAAATGAGTATTTTTAATAAAAAAAAGGTTGGTTCAGACCACCAAAATATTATTAATAATAATAATAATAATAATAATAATAATAATAATAATAATAATAATAATAGTAATGATAATGATAATGATAATAATAATAATAATAATAATAATAATAATAATAATAATAATAATAATAATAATAATAATAATAGTAATAATAATAATGATGATAGTATTTATAATAATGGTATCAACAAAAGAATAGTACTTATTAAACCACCTCACGAGTTTTTACACTCTACGGACTACCAACCATATTCTTTTAAAGGTTCAACTCATGCTATAAGTAAACTTGGGTTATACTCTTATAAAGCTGCAGAAAATCCGGGTGATTCGTTTAGATATTGTATACAATTTGTGTATTTAAAAAATAAACCAAAATTAATTAATAAATTCAAAACAAAAGAGGAATGTTCCAAATATTTAGATTCATTAGAAAGAAAGTACAAAGAACTCATATCAGATCCAAAAAATTTTATGAAACATCAATTTTTTTCCACTACTCATAATGTTATTTCCAATAACAATAGTACTAGAAATAATAATAGTAGTAGTGGTAATGACAAAAAAATAATTTCTAAAAGTAATAGCAATAGTATCAATAGCAGTGTATTTATAGATGGATTAGAGTTTGTTGACATTTATGAAAAATTAGATGAAGAGAAAGACAAATTTCTATTTCTCTTAGGAAACTCTAAATTTGAAACAAATATAGAGTTAAAAGGGGTTGCGAACGACATGAACTCAATCGAGAGGTTGTTAAAGGATCAATACAAAATGGAAAGACACTCAAATTTAGGTTTCAATGATTTCTGTGATATTTGGGGATCTTTCATTAAAAAAATCAAAGATTTAGAGACTAAAAATAAAAGTTTTAATGTCGTATTGTTTTTCTTGTCTCATGGAAGATGCTTAAATGGTAATTTCAATACTTTATTTTATTTATCTAAATTTTAATATTAATAGTTTTTTTTTCTATAGGATCTCTCGAAATAGAATTGGCCGATGGTAGCTTTTACTCCATTGAGGAATTGGCGCGATCTATTAATTCTGAACTAAAAGGTGATTCTAGAGCTTTCTTTTTTATTGATATATGTAGAAAAGTTATTGGAGATGGGGAATATTCGCCAACAATATATGGAAAAATAAATTATATGTATTCATGTCATCATGGTGGTGTTTCTTACGAAAGTGGCGATCCACCCATGGGTCATTTTACAAAGAATTTGGTGGATATCGTGGGCAAACATTTCCCTACAATGGGCCAGTTGGTAAAAATGTTTAATAATTGCAGTGTCATTAAATGCAATAATATTTTCATCGACTATGGTTCTGAGTTTTCAATTTTAAAAAAAAAGAAACTTGATCATATTGACCCAGATTTTGTATATATAGATAAGGTTTAATGCTCAGTCCTTTACCAGAATCAAATTTTTCAAATGTTATTTTAGAAGGGTTATAAAATCAAAAAAAAAAAAAAAAAAAGAAATTGTTATAAGAAATTTTTAAAAACTTTAAAAATAAAGAAATATATATAAAATTTATTAGTTTTTTTTTTTATTATTATTGATGATTGTATTGGATTTTAAAGATTTAGTTTTATTTAATGAGGAAGTTTTTCTTTTTAAACCTATATTTACTTAATTGGTTATATATAAAATTTTTTACTACTATACTTCAAATAAAAGTAGAATCATTATTTTATATTATAGATAATTTTTTTGTATGAAAATAAATTATCCACATTACAAAAAAAATAATTATTTTTATCTTTTAAAAAATTGAAAATGAAATATAATATCTGTTATAACATTTTAAATAAAGAAAAAAAAAAGAATGTGTGTGATTGAAAATTGAATAAATAAATAGTTTTTTTTTTTTTTTTATTATTATTACAAAATAAAGTAAATGATAATTGTAATAGAATACTGATGTGAAGTTAGGGTTTTGTTAATTAAAAATAATTTGAAAAAAAATAAAAAAAAAAAAAATTAAAAAACTTAAAATTTAAATTAATTCTTTAAAATTTTTTTTTAAATTTATTTCTATATAAAAATAAAATTTAAGAACTTGACATATATTCTTAAATAATATTAATATCCTATTAAAATAAATATAAAAAAAATAATATTTCATTAATATAAATCAATAATTTAATAAAAAAATCATTACTAATAAGGTTTATAGCAATAGTAAAAATAACACATTAATAGGGATTCAAGGAATTGGAAAAAGGTATTATGGAGAAAAAAGGAATGGAAGATTTCGAGGACAGAGGGGATGAAGTTAATAGAAATGTTAAAGAATGTGAATTAGGTGTTAAAATAGAAAATAAAGGACCTCACTCAGAGGGAACAGGATTTTTTGATAGCTTCACCTTGTATAGTAACCCTGAAACTAAGAATAATGATAGCGTTTGTAGTGGTGTTATTGGAAATTATCCTTATGATTTATATTATGAACTATTTCAACCACCCCACAAGCTTATAAAATGTTGGGAAATAGAAAATTTCCTCTCTGGTTGCAATGGTCCAGCTGTTAATGAAATAAATCTAGGTTTTTACATATATAAGGTTAAGCTAATGGATCATCAATTGAAGTATTGGGTTGAATATTTATTTTCAAAAAGCAACACAGTAAAAATTATAAATAAGTTCCAAAAAAGTGAAGAGTGTTGGAATTACTTGCATTTAATATATAATAAATTTCAAGCAATCGTTTCAGATCCAAATAGTAACTATATTAAACACTTTCCTAAAGTTTCTACCAAAAATTACTATAATTTACATCAAATCCAATATAAAAGTAAGATAAGCTTTAAACCATACGAACGTATAAATCAATTTCAAAAAGCTTGTTTCATCCATGGAAACTCTGTTTTTGAACAGGAAATTGGATTAAATAGTGTCATGGGCCATTTGAGTTCAATGAAACAATGTTATAATAGCATCGTGGAAAAAGCCTCAAATTTAAACGTCTGCAATTTCGAAATCGTCTGGAAGAATTTTCTTTCACAAGTAATAGAAATGTACTGCACAAATGGAAATCTAGGTGTCTTGGTATTTTTATCATCAAAAACAAAATGTCATAATGGTAATTGTTTTTTTTAATATGTTAAAAAAATAATGATAATTAATCATTTTTTTTATAGGAGTTATTGAATTAGAATTAGCAGACCATACTGTTATGGAGTTGGATTATTTAGTTTCTTCTATTTCTGCAATAGTTAAAGGTAAAGTTTACTTTATTATTGAAGTTGGTGCTGGTATTAAGGGCAATGGTGAATACTGTATTAAGAAGCCAAAAAATGTAGAGTTTGTTTTTTCCTTTAATTGTGGCACCAATACATTCAAGGGCAATCAGAGACATTTCTCGAAGCTTTTAGAACTTGTAGGAGAAGAGATTCTGACAATGGATGAGTTAGAAAAAAAGATAGGTACTTGTCTTCATAAGAGCGAGGAGGACGATTTTGTAATTTTGTAATTTTGTGGAGGAAATTGGTTCAATATCAAAGAATTAAAATGGAAGATATCAATTTAAAAAAAAATCTGTAAAAAAAAATAAATAAATATTCGTAAATAAAAAAATATTTTCATTAAAAATTTAAAATTAATTAAACTTTAACTTAATTATTTATAATTATTTATTATTATAAAT